ATATATATATATATATATATATATATATATATATTCTTGAACTTGGCCGCAAGCAAAAGAAGTCTTGATGCGCTATTGTTGATGAAGAAGACTTCTTGAAGCGCCGCTGGCTTGCGAGCGCTTGGTGTGCGAAGACGTGCAGAGGGAATTTGTGAATTACATCCATGAAGTTAGTGTTGAAGCCGATTAAATTCTTGTGGTAAGAATTTGTATATAATTCTTTCGCGAGATTGAGAGATTATTTCATGAGGAATTGTGGGGCTAAACACTGCGTGCATTATTGAGTGTAATTGGAGCTTGGGAAATACTGAGAATGTTTAAGTGACTCGAGTATGATTGTAATCTACGCTGTATCACTTGATCTATAGTGAAATTCCGTATTGCTCTCCCCGTGGATGTAGGTCACTACGACCAAACCACGTAAATCTAGTATCCGATTTATTTTCTTATTCTGTCAAATTTATTATTCGATCGCTTGGCTTCCGCAACGTCTACCTTTCGAAGAGCTTGTGTTGGTCTTCTTCCTTTATCGTCCTGATCCTCTTTAATCTCTTCTTCAAGTTTTTCTCCAGAGCATCATCAAAATCCAACCATGACCTCCGTAATTCACCTCACTCACAATCACAGAGGATGACTCATACTTCTCATCTTCAACTATGAAGCTGAAGCAGCCTGCAACCACTCTGTCTGCACAGCCTCCTTCAATCCCCCCTCTTTTTCTTCGTCTTCCTTCTTTCCTTCTCTGTCTTCACATCCTAGCATTCGACATGACGATTATCACTGCTACGACACGGCAACTTCATGGCCGCCGGCAACTGTGCTGAGAACCGCGAGCTCCTCCTCTCTTCTTTCCCTAGCAACATGGCTTTGAACGGCGGGTTCTGCTATGGGAAGGTAGGGAATGGCTCAGATGTCTTTACGTGTTCAGTTTCTGCAGAGGCGACTCTTCGAACGACACCTGCATCAAGTGCATAAGCGCTACTGCTGAAGATTTGATGGTCAAGTGTCCAAACCAGAAAGCTGCATACTCAAAGGGGACAGTAAATCGTCCATGCTTCATCCGTTACTCTGATATTCCGATGTATGGCATGAAGCAAACATTTCCGACGCTAAAATTTCATCGCGTTGGTGACATCCTGATGGATCAGGATCACTTTGATCAGACATGGAGGAACTTGACAGAGGTGCTGGCGGATGTTGGAGCTCAAGTTTGCGGAAGGGGGCGAACTTCCAGACTGTGTTCGTGCTATTGCAGTGCAGCCCCAATTTGTCCCGGGTTGATTGCCAGAGCTGCTTGTGAGAATGCATTAATGATTATCAAGGATGTTGCCACGGAAGACTAAGCGGTCTGTTTACAAGCCAAGCTGCATTTTCCCATGGGACTTGTACCCGATTCTCAACTCCGATCCCAGCATTCCGCCACCATCTCCACAGCAACCAACTGCAGCCACCGTGAGCGAACCTTCTGCTCCTCAGCCGGCAAATGCCCAAGTCACCAATGGTTGGTTCTATTTTACAGTTACTGGTGATTTAAAATTCATGAATTACAATTCTTATTCAGAGTTCTCGCCTACTGCATGGGATAAAGCCTTATCCAATATACATGAAATTGCTGGTTTGTACGTATCAAAGGCCCGTTTGAACGTTATTGCAAAGATCACGGTATCAAGTTTAAAAAGATTGTTCCAAAAACACCACAAATAAAATGGGGTTGCAGAGAGAATGAACCGGATAATTAATGATCAGATACATGTCTGTTTTCTCATGTAAAGTTGCCTAAATTATTCTGGGGTGAAGTGATGAGAACACCAATGGACTTAATTAACCTTTCTCTATCAATTCCTCTTAAGAGGGATGTCCCGCAAAGAGTCTAAAGATGTTTCATATAATCATCTAAAAGTCTTTTCTTGCAGGGCATTCGTGCTTATTCCAAGAGATGAAAGATCTAAGCTTGATAACAAGTCTAAGTAGTGTATCTTCTTAGGTTATGGACATGAAGAGTTTGGCTACAGATTATGGGATCCAACTGCAAAGAAAGTTATTAGAAGTCGAGATGTGATTATCATTGAGCATCAAACCATTGAAGACATCAACAAGTGGGAAAAACCAAACTCTACACTATAACAATTCACAAATTCAAACAAAATTAAAACCAATCCTTTTTCTAATTAAAAAAAAAATAGGTTACTTCATGCATAAACGGTGAAACTCTTAACACCACATAAAAATGTGAACCTCAAGAGTTGCCACAAGAAAACAACCTAAGGCGACAAATTCTTCTTTTGCGACAAAAATGACTTTTGTCACCTCAGGTTACCTAATTTGTCGCCTTAGGTGCGACTTAAGATAACAATCATAATTTTGTCGTCTTAGGATGGACAAAGGTGGCAAAACGAGTTTGGTCGCCTTAAGTAAACTTAAACGACAAAACCAGAACTTTGTTGCCATTAATTCAACCAAAGATGGGATTTTTTTTTAACCTACGGCGACAACATGAAATTTTCTCGCCCTTGGTCGGACCAAAGGTAACACAGATAAAAAGTTTTGTTGCCCTTCATCATAAACAATGACCTAAGGCGACAAATGTCAGATTTTGTAGCCTTTGGTATGTGGTCGCTTTTGGCCATACCTGAGGCCACAAATTCTCGTCGCTTTAGGTATAGTCTAATTTGTCGCCTTAGGGATACTGATAATTTTGTCGCCTTAGAGTATACCTAAGGCGACAAAAACGAATGATTTCTTTGCCTTTGGCTCGATTGGTGATCAAGATTTTCTTTGAACATGAGAGAAAATAGTATCAACTTTTAACATGTAGTCGCTGTGCACAAGAAATGCTAAGTTATATACGAAAGTTGTTACTCTTGATGTCTAATGGTTGAATTTATTACGTATAAAACAAGTGAATTACCAATTAAAGCATTTAATTCCACAAATGCACAGTATTGAGGGTATTATAGTCTACTAATTATTATTCTAAATGCGCCCTTGCTTCTAGATTAACAGATTGAATATAAAGTTGGCCCTTTTGTGGAATGAATTAATTGACGAGCAATTTGACAGAGTTTTCCACATTATATCTTTGAAAGTCAGTTGTATATATGAGTGTCATACATTTATTTCGGCTAGCTAGTAGGTTGTAAGTTACCACATTTATATATTCTTGTATACATCTAACAAATATAATAAACATTGGAAGAAAAAATCACGGCTGTCATTAAATACAAACATGCAATGTACCACAAAATTTATATTTTGTCGCCTTAGGCACACTGTAAGACCTTAGGGAACGAAAGTCAGAAAAGTAAGTTTTAGGTGTCCCCTGTGGTGTGCCTGGAAAAGTATCAAAAAAGTCATAAACCTTTTGCATTGGTACCAATTTAGTCCTAAACCTTTTTTTGGTGCCAATTCAGTCCTAAACTTTTTGCAGTAGTGCCAATTCAGTCCTAAACCTTTTGTCTTTATACCAATTTAGTCCTTCAGACTAATTTTGGCTGGATTTTGCTGATGTGGATGTCGACCAGCCACCGATGCTAACGTAGATAATTTTTAATAATATTTTTAATATTTTTTTTTTCTTTTTTTTTCCTCCCCTCCCTCCTTCCTCCAGTCCAGCAACTGGCCAGAGGCTAGAGGCCGGCGAGGTCGCTTCGCCGGATGGCCGTGAGGGCGGCCTCGCTCTGGGCAGGTGAGGTTGGCGAGGTCGGCGAGGTCGGGCCTCGCCCAACCGCCGGTGAGGCTCGACCTTGCCAGATCCGGCGAGGCTCGAGCACTCGCAGGTGGCTACGACGTTGAAGGCCTCTGGTGAGGGCTCGAGCCTTGCTAACGGCTAGGCGAGGCCCAACCTTGCTGGATCTGGCAAGGTAGAGCCTCGCTGGCCTTTGGCCTCTGGTCGGTTGCTGGTTCGGCGATCAGTTAGAGGAAGGAGGGAGGACAGAGGAAAGAAAAAAAGAAAAAAATAAATAAAAATTCAAAAAATATTAAAAGATTATTAAAAGTTGTCCACGTCAGCACCGGTGATCGGCTGCTGGCCGGCCGGCATTCACGTCAGTAAAAGCCGGCCAAAATTGATCGGAAGGACTGAATTTACACAAAGACAAAAGGTTTATGATTGAATTAGCACAAATGTAAAAGGTTTAGGACTGAATTGGCACAAAAAAAAGTTTAGGATTAAATTGGCATAAACGCAAAAGGTTTTGGACTGAATTGACACCAAAAAAAGGTTTAGAACTAAATTGAAATCAATGACAAATGTTTAGGACTTTTTTGACACTTTTCCCATAGTGTGCCCCATCAACCATTGCATATGAATGGTTGGGATGTTGCCGCATAACTCTATTTCTTTACCAGCAACCAAACACTTTTTTTTTTTCACAGGAAAATCCTCCTTCAACCATCACCACCCCTCGCTCAACGTCGCCACAGCCGCACCGGGGCGCCGTCATCGCGCCTCACCCCGAGACTCCTCCGCCACCAGCATTGTTGCCACCAACGCGGCCTTTCCAACCACCATTATCGCCATCACCTGAATACACCGTTGGCAACAAACACAAACTCTCTCGCTCTGGTGGGGTTGACCACCATGGTGGTGGCGGCCACTGGGTCTGGCTAAGCAAACATAGGCGAGAACGCGAAAGTAAGAAGCAACAGATCGAGCAATTTGTGTTGATATGCATATTCTCAGGCATGCCCATGTTGCCATTTGGGCCGACCGGGCCTGGGCGAGACCCACGGGCCTCCAAATCCATGATCTACTCTCTATTCGTGATCCAGAAGTCCGAGATTGACAAGCAAATTGATGCAGCCCACCGCGGTGCCGAAATTCCAAAACTCATCCGCATTAAGCTAGATGCACGCGATGCTCCCACGAACAATTTTAGCCTCTGCGAGAGTGACCTCGCTTTTTGTGGAATAGTAGCCCGTGCCATTCAAGCCACCCCCGTGGTATGTCAAGGGTTAGCGTTTGCATTTGCATTTGCATAATTCCTTGATTTTGTGTTTGTCACGCAAACGCGCTTTGACATGGTCTTCTCCCTCTGTTGTCCCCATCTACTTCAATCTCTATCAACCACTTTTTTGATCCAGGCATTACCAAACTCCAGCCATGACTTCCCCAGGGGACGACTCATGCGTCTCATCTTCAACAATGGAGCTGAAGCAGCCAGCGACCACCGTGTCTGCACAGCCTCCTTCGATCCTTCTTCTTCTCCTTCGTCGTCTTCCTTCTGTCCTTCTCTGTCTTCACATCCTAACGTTTAAAGTCTCCACCGCTCAACACTGCTATGACACGGGCAACTTCACGGCCACCAGCAACTATGCCAAGAACCGTGAGCTCGTCCTCTCTTCCCTGCCTAGCGAAATGGCTTCGAATGGCTGGTTCTACTCTGGGAACGTAGGGAACGGCTCGGACGTTGTTTACGTGCTCGGTTTCTGCAGAGGCGACTCTTCGAACGATACTTGCTTCAAGTGCATAAACTCTGCTGCTGAAGATTTAATTATCAAGTGTCCGAACCAGAAAGCTGCGTGGTCCTTGGGGACAGGAGATTCTGTCTGCATCATCCGTTACGCTGATCGTCCGATGTACGGCGTGAAGCAGACATTTCCGACGTTAAGCTATTACAACACCGGCGACCTCCAGATGGATCAGGATCAGTTCGATCGGATATGGAGGAACTTCACGGAGGAGCTGGCAGCGGGGGCTTCGATGGGGACGTCGGAGCTCAAGTTCGCGGCATGGAGGACGGCGTTGCCGAACTTTCAGACCTTATTCGCGCTGTTGCAGTGCAGCCCCGATTTGTCTCAGATTGATTGCCAGAGTTGCTTGTCGGATTGCATAGATGATTATCAAGGATGTTGCCATGGAAAACGAGGTGGCGGTGTTAACAAGCCGAGCTGCATTTTCCGATGGGACTTGTACAGGTTTTTCGACTCCGATTTCAGCAATCCGCCGCCACCTCCGCCACCACCAACTGCCGTCGCCAAGGCCGACCCTGCTGCTCCTCTACCTGCAAATGCCCAAGTCACCAATGGTTGGTTCAACTTTAAGGTTACTGCTGATTTTACATTCATGAATCACAGCTCTCATTCAGAGTCCGCGGCTGCTACGTGGGATAAAGTCTTATCGAATACACATGAAATTGCCTGTCCATGTATCAATGGGGATTAGTAGGGCCCAATGTTTGGATGTCCGTGCTATAGATAGAATCATTTTAATTTGAAATGCTAACAATCATGAGTTTCAATTTCAAATTGGATTAAACGCATTGCTTGATGTTGGCAGGTAATATCTCGAAGTCATTACGCATTGTGGTTGCTGTGGTAGGTTCGGCAATTCTCTTCGTGATGGTTATTGTCTCCTTGTATTGCTTTATTAGAAGGAGAAGAAGTAATCCATGGAAGGTCTCATCTGGTTAGTGGATTTATCGGTAGTTTTGCGTTCTGCATTTTGGTTGGTATTGGATGACTTCTTATCAAGCTTAGCATAAGAATTAAACTAGTGTGGGAGAGAGAGCGGCGTGATTTTGGTTTATATTCCCCTTCTGAGAAACGGTGCAGAATCTAAAACCAATCGTACATTTTTGTTAAATAATTAAGAAAGCCCAAATGGCATGTTAAGAACAAGAGAATTTTATCTACTTTTCTGATCGGATTCTGGAGATCTCATGTTGATTGCTCTGCATTTTCTTCAGCAAAAGAGGAGGTCAAGACTGCTGAAAGCTTACAGTTCAAACTAAGCGAGATCAGGGCTGCCACAAATTTCTTTTCAGAAGGCAATAAGCTTGGAGAAGGGGGATTCGGAAAAGTGTATCGGGTAGCTGGAAAATTTTTGTCGATGTTTATTTGGGAATTACATCACTACAAGGAGACAAACGTTGTTTCTTGCAAATGAAAATTTGACTGCAGGGCAAGCTTGAAAATGGACAAGACATTGCTGTGAAGAGGCTTGAGGGGTGTTCTAATCAAGGTCAGCAACAGTTCAAGAATGAGGTCACTCTGTTGGTCGGACTTCAGCACAAAAATCTGATTAAGCTCCATGGCTATTGCTTGGAAGAAGGGGAAAGACTTATTATTCTTGAGTTCGCACCCAATGCAAGCCTTGAAGGATTCATTTCTGGTACGAACTAGGACGTTCAAATTTGTCGCTTCCATTTCAATGATAGTAAATGTACTGATTGGACAGATTTTTGCATCAAACCATTTGGTAGTACTTTGCATTACACGCAGAACAATTAAGAACCTAAACAATGTCTATTTTGCAGATTCAATCAAACGTATGTTGTTAACTTGGGAGAGGTCTTTCGGTATAGTAAGTGGAATCGCTCGAGGACTTCTTTATCTGCACGAGGATTCACGCTTTAGGATCTTACACCGCGATCTGAAGCCTGGCAATGTTCTGCTGGATGAGAACATGAATCCCAAGATAACTGATTTTGGCACGGCAAGGTTATTCCTTTTGGACCAAAGTAGAGCAAATACTGCACAAATAGCGGGAACTTTGTAAGTTTAAAATAGACTTACCTAATGCTCCTTTGTCTATTTCATCCTTTCAAGGAAAGCATACAATGATAACAGGCACCAATTTCAGTTTCCCCATTGATGATTCTTGGATCCATTTGTTTTACGTGTAACAGTGGCTATATGGCTCCCGAATATGTAAGACATGGAGAGATCTCTGTGAAGACCGATGTGTATAGCTTCGGCGTAGTGGTATTAGAGATCATCAGTGGCAAGAAGAATTCATACAACAGCAATTCGGGGACTTCCGAGCACCTACTGGGCTACGTGAGTATAAATTGTGGAATTTTGTCCAGTAATTTAGTTAGTGAAAATTTATAATGCTTCTCCTTGCGCATGTGAAATTACAAAACGCATTTAGTTGCTTTTGTGATTGTGTACTGCAGGCATGGAAAAATTGGAGAAAGGGTACACCTTTTCACCTTATAGATCCCATGTTAAATGGCAGCTCGAGAAGCGAAATGTTAAGATGCATCCACATTGCATTGTTATGTGTTCAAGAGAACGTAGCGAGACGGCCTACCATGGCTTCGGTGGTTTTAATGCTCGGGAGCCAGAGCACGACCCTCCCAATGCCGACACGGCCTGCATATTTTGACAGATGCCAGTGGTAGAGAAATGTCGACTGCCGCTGTTCATCGCTCATCACCGACATCAATAAACGAAGCTTCCATGACGGATCCACACCCTAGATGATATTATTACCGAAGGATCGAAGCTGAAAGTGGAAGTTGTTGAGGAAAACTCCTATTAATTTTGAAGTTGACAAAACCTTCTATGTTATTGTAAATCTGATACTTATTCTGAACTATTCCAGGTCTGTATATTCTGGAAGCTCAGAAGAAAGTTATTCAGACTTTACAATCTGTCAAGTATATTTTTGAAGACCCACATAATCGAAGTTCTGAGATTCAGAAGCAGAAGTTATTCAGATGCAGATGCAGAAGTTATTCAGATGCAGATGCAGACGAAGAAATTATTCAGACGCAGACGCAGGAGTTCTTCTGATGCAGACGCAGAATATCTTCAGACACAGAATTCAGAACGTAACACAACAGCTAGTGATCTAGCATGGATTTCACAGAAGGAAAGTTTTGATTGTCTCAATCTAAGGCTATAATTGATTGACAATCAAACATTACGACAAGTATACATTACAACGGATAAAGCTCTACTTATGGAAACCAAGATTCTGATTGTATGGGCAACCAGAATCAGCGGGATTCAGAATCTGTCAACCAACGGCTACTCAATCCTTACTATACAAATCTGTCCAAGGTAAAGATTGGAAGATGATCCTCTGAAAGCTGTCCAACGGCTAGTTTGGAAGCAGAGGAGTATTTAAGGAGATCAACGAGCAGCAGAAGGAAGTACAGAATCAAGAATCAACAAGTCCAAAGTCTGAGCTTAATCCAATCATTTTTCTCTTGTCATTCTGAGCCAAATATTAAGATCTTGAGGAACACTTTGTAAGAGTGATTGTGTGAGATAGAGAGTCCTATCATACACAAGAGTGTTAACACTCAGAAGTTGTAATTCCTCTTGATTACATAGTGAAATCCAGCCGGTAAGGGTGTAAGCGTGGGAGAGTGGACGTAGGCTTGCTATAAACCGAACCACTATAAACTTGTGTGGATTCTCTATCCCTTATCTCTTACTTTACATTCTCGCACATCAAGAGCACGTCTATATAATCTGTCTTGAATCTGAATTTTATTCAGACTCTTCTGTGATTTATTTTGTTTCCGCATAAATTACTAAAAATTGTTTTAGATCACCTATTCACCCCCCTCTAGGTGATCCTTGCTAGCTACATCAATTGGTATCAGAGCAGGTTGCTCATTTATTGAAGTGTCTTACTTCTGAGCTAACGATCTATATGGCTAGCTATAGTGCTCCAGGGCTCATTGAAGGACAGAGCAACAACAGACCACCATATTTCGATGGCAAGGAATATAGTGTCTGGAAGAATAAGATGAAGGCATTCATAAAGTCAATTGACCACATGCAATGGGATGTCATCATCAGAGGTGTCAATCCAAAGTCTTCTGATTCAAAAGAGAAGGCAGATGCAAGCAAAGCAGCAGATCCTCCATTATCTCAAACTGAGATATCCAAAAGAGAAACCTTAGATTCCAAAGCAATTTATTCTCTTTATTGTGCCTTATCACCTATTGAATATAAAAAAATTGCTGCTTGTGAATCAGCTAAGGAAATCTGGGATACTCTTCTTATTACTTATGAAGGAACAGATCGAGCCAAGGAAACTCAAATTAATCTTCTGCTTGGTCAATATGAATCTTTCAAAATGAAGCCTGGAGAATCAATTGCTGATTTATATGATAGGTTTACTGATATAGTAAACGGTCTTGCTTATCAAGGACAACCAGTTCCAGATGCAATGAAAGTCAACAAACTTCTGAGAGGACTGACAAATCAGTGGGACAACATCAAAACATCTCTTCGAGAGACACAAAGGATCAAGCCTCTATCAGTGAATGAGTTAATTGGAACTCTTCAATCATATGAGACTGAGAAACGAAATGAGGAGATTGAATCCAAAGGTAATAAATCAATTGCTTTGAAGACTAACATTGATTCTGATGCAGATTCTGAAGATGAAGACGTTGATGATGAAGAACTAGCTCTGTTTATAAAGAAGTATAAGAAAATGAAGATCAAAGGAAGAAACCTCAGGGGAAAGAAGCCTTTTGAAAAGAAGAAATCTTTCGATGAGACAGAAAGATCGAAGGATGTTATATGCTTTCACTGTAAGAAACGTGGACATATCAAGCCAAATTGTCCACTTCTGAAAAAGAAGACCAAGTTTGAGAAAGCAAAGAAGGCCTTAAAAGCAGAAACCTGGAGTGACACAGAATGTGAAGACAGTGATGAAGATTTCTGTCTAATGGCTAAGTCAGACTCAGACTCAGATCTCAGATTCTGATCCCAAAGTGGAAATTGAGGTAAAACATTCTGACATGCCTATTGAGGTATCAAATTACATTGATGAATTATGCTTTGAATTCAAGACTGCTCTTAAATGCATCTCTTCTTTGAAAAAGGAAAATTCATCACTGAGGCAACAGGATGTTTCACAAAAAGAAAAAAATCGATTTCCTTCAAAAAGAATTTCATCAAGTCAAGGAAAGTCGAGATTTTCTTTCCAAAGAAAATGCAGTTTTGAAAAAGCAAGTTTCGAAATTACTTCCAAATTTTCAAAGGGATCGAAACCTTGAAGCATATCCTTTCTATCCAAATTCCTTACTACAACAAATCTGGTCTCGGATTTGTGAAGGAAAGTGATAGCTTGATTGATTTTCCAAAGGTCAAGGAGAGATTAAAACAAAGACCTCCTCGACAAGCTTATAAAAATCATTTCAAAAGGAATTTTGTAAAACCTGTTGGTCGAAGTGCACTCAAGTGCTCAAAATGTGGAGATCCACAACATTTTGAGAATGAATGTCCTAAGGTCTGGAGACCTGTTAGAAGAGATTTTGTTAAGACAGCCTATACTAATGCTCAAGGACCCAAACAAATTTGGGTACCAAAGAAAACTTGAGATGCTGTGTTTTTTGCAGGTTACCACAAAAAGAAAAAGGAAGTGGTACCTAGACAGTGGATGCTCTAGACATATGACAGGAGATCCAAGTATATTCGTTGATCTACACAATCTGAATGGTGGAAAAGTATCCTTTGGAGGAAATACCAAAGGAAAAATCGTTGGCAAAGGAACAGTTGAAATTGGAGGACTTACAATCAATGATGTCTCGTTGGTAAAAGGACTCAACTACAACTTGATAAGCATAAGCCAACTATGTGATACAGGTTTCAGAATCAACTTTCAAGAAGATACATGCTCAGGGACAAGCAAAGATTCTTCTCAAACATTTACAGGGAGAAGACATGGCAATATCTATCTTCTAGATGTCAATCCAAACTCCACTCATTGCTTGATCTCAATCAAAGAGGATGAAGATCTATGGCATAGAAGACTGGGGCATATCAGTATGAAACAAATCTCAAAGATCTCAAACAAGAAACTGGTTCGAGGTCTACCAGATTTGAAATACAAGAAAACAGAGTTATGCAATGCCTGCACTCTAGGAAAACAAGTAAGAAGTTCTTTCAAGTCTATACATCATGTTTCCACTGATCGTGCTTTGCAGCTTCTTCATATGGACCTATTTGGACCAACCAGAACACAAAGTATTGGTGGTAAGAAATATTGTTTAGTCATTGTTGATGACTTCACAAGATTTACTTGGGTGTTCTTTCTTGCTCATAAAAATGAAGCATTTTCATATTTTTCAAAATTTGCAAAAAGAGTTCAGAATGAAATGGGCTATTCCATTTCCTGCATTAAAACTGATCATGGGGGAGAATTTGAAAATCAAAGTTTTTCAGATTTTTGTGAGGAAAATGGCTTTCAACACAATTTTTCTACTCCTTACACACCAGAACAAAATGGTGTTGTGGAAAGGAAAAATCGTTCTTTGCAAGAAATGGCAAGAACTTTGCTGATTGAAAGCAAAATTCCTTTTATTTAGGCGATGCGTTTTACAAAGATGCTATATCATTAATGAGCTTTTCTCGGACCCATTCTTGAGAAAACCCCCTATGAGCTTTACAAAGGTAGAAAGCCCAACATTTCATATTTTAGAGTGTTTGGTTGTAAATGCTATATCCTGAAAAATCCAAATGACCGCACTGGAAAGTTTGATGAGAAAGCAGATGAAGGATTTTTCCTTGGATACTCAACTTCAAGTAAAGCATACAGAGTCTACAACAAGAACTCTCAGACTGTTGAAGAATCAATGAATGTGAGGTTTGAAGAAAACATTCAGACTCACAGAGATGAATCTGAACCATCTCCCAACATTCAAGAATCATCAGAAGCATCAGAAGGCAAAGAAGATATAATACGGACTCAACCGTAAAGTTCGGAGTCGCAGAATTTCGAAGGAAAAATATGACAAAAACTCGGAAACATAAATCCGTCATCCGAAGAACCTCGTTATTGGAGAAATAGAAGATGGTATCAAGACAAGATCCAAACACAAAGAGAACATCAAGAACTTGGCTTTGATATCGAAATAGAGCCAAAAGAAGTTGGTGAAGCTTTATCGGATGAAAGCTGGATCGATGCTATGCGGGAGGAACTTCAGCAGTTCGGAATCAATAAAGTATGGGAGCTTGTGCCAAGACCCAAAAATCATCCAGTAATTGGAACAAAATGGGTATTCAGAAACAAACTGGATGACAAAGGGAAAGTTACAAGAAACAAAGCAAGACTGGTTGCAAAAGGCTATTCTCAAGAAGAAGGCATAGACTATGATGAAACATATGCACCAGTTGCAAGGTTAGAAGCCATTCGGCTACTACTAGCTTATGCTTGTTCCCATAACTTTAAATTATTTCAGATGGACGTGAAAAGTGCCTTTCTGAATGGATATATCAAAGAAGAAGTATATGTGGAACAACCACCTGGTTTCGAAGAACCAAGAAAGAGTGATCATGTCTACAGACTCAAGAAGGCTCTTTACGGTCTGAAACAAGCACCAAGAGCTTGGTATGAAAGGTTAAGTAACTTCCTTCTGCAAAACGGTTTTACCAAAGGTAAAGTTGATACAACTTTATTTGTTAAGAAAAAGGGTAAGGATTTCTTAATTGTTCAAATTTATGTTGATGATATA